CTAAGGAGTTAGACGTTCTACTCCCTCTCCCAACCTGAAAACTTGGGTGTGAGTGTGGCTAGCGCGTGACTCATCCCGCCTGCTAGCTGGGAGTTTGGAGAGGAGCCTGAGGGAAAGAAGGTGATAAGATAGGTGGGGCTTCTGTGGGGCAAACCTGAGGGAGAGAAGGTGATAAGATAGGTGGGGCTCCTGTGGGGCAAGCCTGAGGGAGAGAAGGTGAGGGGAGAGGTTGATGGTAACCACTCATTAATTTTCAAGCTGTAAGTGTCGATTTATCAAGCCCGATCACATAGTTTCATAACGGAGCATGGGTATTCAGCTAGTAAAGATATCATTAGTTGTATATTATGGAACTGACATGTAAAAAAGTTCTATGACTAGAAAGTCATCAACAATAAACTTACCTGGCAAAGTTCCAGATGCTATGAAGAAGGTATTGGGAAGTTACCTATTGAACCTCTCTCTCTGGACAATAGAGGGTGGCTTTCTTAATCATTTAGGACTCTCCCATCCTAAGCAGTCTTATAATCCACTAATGACTGCAGCTGCACCAGTAGACTTTTATAAATATTTCTTCTTTTTAGATTTATTTTCTCCAGAGGAGCTTGTAAGAACATCTGTTGACCAAAGAAGATACTGATGCCAAGAGCATGTCTTAGGAAAAGTCATTCTTTTCCCATTCTACTTCTGTTTCCTGTGTTGCTTCTCAGGAAAGTTCAGTTTTCTCTCAGTCCCCTTGTTTTATTGTTAAGTCACTTTTCCAGAGAAAGTTACATCCAAAATTCACTGCTGGTTTATTTATTTTGTTATTACTGCTTATTGTGGGTGGATATGTGTGTATGGATATCATTTTACATACATATAAATTAATCCTGGAGCCATCAAATATACTCAGAATGAATTAGAAAGTTAAAAATTATTTCTTTCAAGAAAGGGAGTTTCACTACAAGGGAAAGTTATTTACTCTTATGGTAAATTCTAAGATTAGAGGATTTGTATTTTACTTCATGCAAAAAATAATTGAAAAACATAAAGCAAAGTTGGAGTTATTTAATATCATCCTGCACTCATAATTTATCTTCACCCTAGGCTTTAGTTTGTGTTACAACATTTTCAAAATGGCAAGTCCCAAACTCATTATCTTTAGGACCTTATACTACTGAACTCCAATTCTGTAAGCCTAACCAATATGTTTGATAGCCAGAGATTGCAGTTCAGCATCAGCTAGAGAATCACAGGTCTCCACAGCTGTTAAAATATACCAACATTTATTACAAAATCTTGCTCTTTTGTTAATTATAACTTAGTTTTAAAAGTGGCCTAGACGAAGGGGATTGTGAGAAGGAGAGAGATGAGACATTTATTTTGAGTTCTGATGGTGCTGGAATGGAATACCATCCAGAAAGCAGAATAGAATAAAGACCATTGTTTACTGCATTTTGTCCTATATGCTTAGAATTAGGGATGCAATAGTATCTTGCAAATTCAAGGTCAAATTTATTTCCCATATGCCCTAGTGAAAGACTATGTACAAGTTATATAAGGTCTCCTACTCTAGCAGAGACTTAGACTGTGGGGCCTCCAAGGTCCCTTCCAACCCTATGATTCTATAAGTTGTGGGTATGTTTTCTTCTATAGGTAATAATTATTAATTATAATTAATCCTGGAGAAAAGCGATGATTTAAAAAATGGTCGACAGTTTGGTTCTGTAAAAATGTTACACTTGATTAAGTGCCAATTCTGGTGGCTGTCACTTAAAAAGGACATTAGCTGCCCAATTTGTGCTTCTGCCAAGCGGGGACAAGGGAAAACCCTAGGACTCCTCCAATCTGTGGCAGAGCTTAACGTTCCCAGATGCAAATTTCAGGCCATCTGAATCTGCTTTTTCTTGATGTTATGACAGTTAGTGTACCAACATTTCATACCCTGAATTAGTAGACTGTGATGCAGCAGAATTCAGATGGGACAAAAGTATTATTTTATTATGTAATTTTACTTCACATGTAATGTTATAATCATGTAAATAGCATGAAATGACATACATGCTATAATTTGCATAAGGAAATCATTATATATAGTGTAAAAGGTTTATGATTTGTGTAATAACATTGCTGTGAATGATACAATCTTTGTTTGAACAGAAAATCAGGAATTACAGACATCATCTCCCCACTTACTGATTTATTAAATCAAGATTTATCTGTATCTGACACCAATAAGCCAACAAAATATTGCCTGAACTGGTATTAATTTTTCCTGCACATGGCCTTAATTTCATGAAAACCATTTTAGAGGACATTTTCCCCATCTTTTTAGATTCAAGTCTTATACTAGCATGAAATGAAAATTCTAGATTTGGGATTGAGAATTGAGTCAGTAGATTAAGTTCTTAAGCGATTAGGTGATTTTGTGGCATTTTAACATGCAGATTTGCCTAGCAAAGATATTAAGGGGCTTTTTTGTATGTGTAAAAGGGAGAAATCTTGTTCCTCATCAATGCTCTGTCATACCCAGTTGGCTATCAGTTACTGTACCAAATGCACTTTGTAAATAAATAAAATGGAATATATGACTTCAGTTTTCAGATACTTCATTGAAATATTAAAATATTACTTATATGATAGAACTTTCAACATACAAAACTTTCAACATACAAGGGAGCTGGCAGAATAAATAAAATAAAACAAACATTAAGCATCAAAATTAAACATCAGAAAATAACAATGATGATAAAAATATGTATTCTATCTCCTAATATACTAAAAATCTGAGTCTATTACACTCAATAAAGAAAGCACGAGACATCTGTAGAAATAAGTGAAACTTAAGGCCAGTGCTGTGACTTTAAAGTAGTATGCCAAAGACAAAAGTAAACTTGAAATATTCAGTTTCCCCTGATAAATAATTTATTTTGTCAATTTGCCTATTATGAAGTGACAATTCTTTGTCTACACTGCAATTCACGCCTTGAGAAAGAAAACAAACAGAAATTATAATGATCCTTTGGAAAAGATTTGTGAAGTAAGACTGGACAACCAGTCAGTCACATGAAAACACATAAAATAAGTGCGGCTGTCTGCTTAATGATATACAATATCACTTAGAATAATTTCCTCTTTTTTCCACAGCTGAATAGCTACACAGCTGGCTGTCTCATGTTGCTCTTGTAAATGTAGCTACATGATTGCAGTGTGTAGGGGTTGAAACTGCTACGCTATGCAGTGGGTGGGAACGCTTCTCTTTTATTTTCCCAAGGAAACTTTAACAGCCAGTTCTCTTTATTATTTATAAGCAACTAGAAAGATGCTGTTATGTTTCACTTAATATTCTTCTAAGTTACAGAATTATGCAGAAATATTTTGGAAACTTCTTAATTGAAAAGTATAATTGGCTTGATGATAGTCAAAGCACTGTGTGATATCTTCCTGAAATTGGCATCAGGTGTAAATATATGCATTCCCTTTCTAAGAGTATCTGCGTATACCTCATGCTTTTTCAACAATTTTCCACAAAGAAGATATAAAAATATTTACATACATTAAAGTTAGCATCAAATACACTATTTCAAACTAACCCATAGTAACAACAAACCAAATCTCATTTGATAAGAAACAAAAACAAAAGTTGAATTCTTTGGTTGTATACAGAAAGATAGAATGAGAACTAGGAATGTAGGGCACCGAGGTCATAAACCAAGATATAGGAGACACAGATTTATTGTTATTGTACTCATACAAAAACACACTTCTGACAACACTGTAGTTTTGGTTGGCCCCAAATCACATAGTAATTGAAAGTAGACCTAAATCTTTATTCACACACACACCATATATTCTATATCTATAGCATATTTACAACATATCTTAAATTTGCAAAGCATTATTAACCACAAATTGTAGGAGGTTGCTGTTTCTCTAGCCACCAAATGGCTAAATGGTGACAGGAGAAACCTGAGGTTTCTGATGATAGTTTTCTGAGTTTAGTCATACTATTCATCAAAAAGTACAATAAAGTTAGCAGGAGACAAAGCCAGTATCCAATCAAAAGAAATCTTTAGGAATCCTCTAAAACTAGCAAAAGTTTTAGGTAAAGTTGATTTAATCTGGCAGCTTTAATTAACAAATTGATATTTTTAATCTAAAATTATGAATGACATACAGATTTCTAGATAGAAATAATTTGAAATTTTAAAAATATGAAGGACACCTAGAAGAAAGTCATAGGTAAATGTCACTGAACAAAGTCTCACTTTAATTATACCCTCTCAAGCGGCCTCTTTCAAAACTGACAGGCTTGTTGCCAAGAAGCATGGAAACAATTTTAATTTTAAAAAAAATCTTCTAGAGAGAAGCTTTATGTCTATCAGTGAAACTTATCCTTTTGTGTGGATACCAATAGTTACTCAGACAGCTGCTAGACAGCTGGAGGTTCTATTCCTGGCTGTAGCATAGTGCTTTTTTTTTTTTAAGCTAACTTGATAATCAAATAGTTGTTTAACTCTTGGAAACTTTTATTTCTGGGGTTACAGAGACAGTGTGTTATACTTACCCTGTTCTCCTTTGTTCATCCTAATGCCACAAATGGAATGTTGGTTGGAAATATTCTGAAGTTTATGTATGCTGAAACATTGAAAAGATTCTTTTAAAATCCCACACAGTATCCAATTTTATACGGTAATCCATCTGTTACATTTGCTTTCAGAAAATCAGTAACTTCTTTGTAAACTTAATTAAAAGTGTACTGGACTAGTTATTAACATTACAATTTAAAATGCAGCAAAATGTGGCATTTGCCCTAATTAGAAAATGTATTTTAAAAGTGTCCTATTTTGCTCATCTAATTTAATATATTGATTTTTTAAAATCCCATTTTACAACCCTGTAATCCCTTAATTCGGGGTAGAATCGGGGCGACTGAATGGAACTGAGCATTTACTGGCCGGATGTCCTTCCTGGTGCCATGTGGAGCTCACAGCACCTATTTTTTCTTTGCGCCCTAGGAGTGAAATATCTGCTACTACCTAGGATTGAACGCTCAACCTTCCAAGTAGGAAGTAAGTGTCTTCACCACTAGGCCACCACACCACTCTAGTTTAATATAGTGATGAGTTATCCTAATGATTATCCAAACTACATGAAGGAAAATAAAGTAAGTAGAACGTTAATGCATTAATGATTTTATCAGTGCTGTCAGTGAAGATAGGTTCAAATCTTACTGAACATGCAAAATCAACAGATTTATATGGAAAGTTAGTACTGCAAATATGATTATTTTTTGTAACAGTCAAGGTTTATTTTGCTTTTATTTTGAAATACTATTGTAAATCAAACACTGCAAAATAATGGAATATAATTGTCATGACATCATAAGGTCAGTAGTCTCTTAAATATCATAATGAAGTCAGAAGTTGGTTGTGATTTTCCTGAAACAAAAATCGAACATCAAGTGATTCAGGATAAAACAGGACTTTGGACCTCTTTGAAGGCAATCTGTGCCTTCTCATTTGGGTAAATCCTTGATAATTCTGATTCCATGTAAAGGAAACTAAAATGTTTTAATACCTTCTATCAAAGAAACAAGTGTTTGGAAATGCCTTTTTTTTAAAAAGAGAGAGAACAAATAAGGAAACTGCAGAAATTAGAAATTCTAAAACTAGAATTCAAGATGACTAAATGTTACTAAGTAGCAGTAAAGAGAACAAACAAGAAAAGTAAAATACCCATTGTGTTAAATTTTATTTTGTTTTTAATTTAAGAATCCTTCTTGACAATTCACCAATCCTTCCAATGACTGAGGCATAAATAGTTTTGCAGATCAGCCAACAGAAATGCAAAAAAGTTTTGTCAATTTCCTTGTTTTTTCCATTAGGAGCGACATTCTATAGAAGTCTTCCTACCTACAAAGGGAGTATCTTAGATGAAAGCTAATAAGTATTTTTGCTCTCTTTAAGAAATTTCCATTTTTAGCATTCAAGGTTATGAAAACGTTTTTAAACCAAACATTTTATTATATTTGTTAATTGCTATTATTAACAATGTTATTAACTCTGAAAAACATTTTAATTCCCTTAAGATCTAATAGCCTTAAGATCTATAACATTGTAGAATATGCAGTGTGCCTAAATTTTGAACTAGGGAAAACATATCAGAGGGATTTAAAAGGCTTTGTTTTCTCTCTGAAATGGACATATACCCCATATAACAGTACATATAATACTTTCTAATCAATATAGAATGAGTTGTACAACAAGGTGATACAATATCACCTATCCTTTTCTCAGGCTGTCTTGATGTTGTGACTCAGCAGCAGTCTTCTGTGAGTCTTTTCAGGATGCAAGATTAACAATGCAGCTGGGGCTCGTTAGGGGTATCTTCTGGGGATAAAAGGACGGATGGTGCCACGCCCTGGTTGCAGGAGTCAACGTTCGTTCATTCGTTCATTCAACGTTCATTGATCCTCGGTTGTGGTTTCTTTGATGGACACTTGGAGAAGTGATTTGATTTCTGTAACCCTGATTTGTAGAGACATTTGAAAAAGTGCTTTGCTTTCTTTTTGTTCACCTTGTGTTGCCATAAGAGAGATTTGTTTTGCATTCCGTTATCTTCAGGCAGAGATTTTGTTTAGTTTTATTT